AGACATTAGCGGGAGTTGGCATCAGTTTGACAGCTGGAATATTCTCAGAATCCGGTCTGTGGCCATCGGCATCAAAGATGAATCCCAAATACTTTACCGACTGCAATAAAAACTGGCACTTCTCTGTATGTAACCGGAACTTTTTCTCACCGACGCGTTAAGGTACCAATGTCTTGCATTCATGTAGCTGCTCTAACAATTAAAATATAATCGAGATATGCCGCGACCCCCGAGATACGTGACAGGACGGTATCCATTAGTTGCTGGAAGATAGATGGAGCGGATTTGAGTCCAAAAAGCAGACGGTTATACTGAAACAAACCGCGATGAGTATTGATAGTGAGCAGCTCTCTTGATGCTTCATCTACTCCCACTTTCAAATAAGCATCAGCTAGATCCAGTTTTGCGAAAAACTTTCCATGAGAACTGGCAAAGGATAATGAAGCTGTTCCAGAGCTACACTGAGACCTGTAGAAAAGTCAGTAAATATACATATCGTGCCGTTGGCATTCGTGATAACAACTATAGGTGCTACCGAAGCAGAGTGAGAAGGCGATTCATCTCTTCATCTACTGTTGGTAATGTAACATAAGTCTCTTTTGACGGAAGATAGGTTTAGCCCCAGGTTTCAACCGAAAAGTTACTTTTATAGCAGAACACTGACCCGATCCAGGTTGTAAAATGGTTAAAAATTGCGTCACATGAATGAGTTCAAAGTGGTAGTGAGTAGAGGAGACTTTAAATAATAAGCTGTCTACAAACCAAAAACAATATACCGTATGATGATGATCTATGGGACATTAGGAAGCTTGTGATCAAATTAATATATATACGTGATCAAATTTGTCTGACCTGGATTGAATTGAAACTGTTTTTCAATATACTGTTGGTAAGTCCCTATTCTTAACAAAGGAATCCTATGGAATCATGAAATAAGTTATCACTTCTAGAAAGCTTATACGATAATGTTACTCTATGGATCACTTTTGCTTAACGTAATTTTATTAGGATATAGCAAGCCAATGTTCATTGATTATTAATCTGAAGTCTTATTCATAAAACTTTCAGTTTTCCTGTTAGATAATAATAATATATATTCCTGACACATCAAGAGGTTGTGTATTTCCCTGTCTATAAAGACGTTAATAAACTGTCAGGCGGTAATCGTATGCAGTAACAATTTAAAAGGTAAGCAAATGAATGTTATATAATATGGAACAGATGTATGTATGTAGGTCCTGAGCGCATAAGCTTATTCAAATGAACATACAGAACTGCCATAAGAACCTATACTCTTTAGCAGTATTGATCTACTTTCCATATTGCTGAAAATATGAACAATAGAAGTAACTATTGATGATTAAATCTTTTATTGGAACACTCAATACAAGATGTGCATTCGGTTGAGCTTTATAATGATATTCGGTAATATAACTCAACTTCATTACCAGCTATTTGAATAACGTAGGTTGATAGTTCTTTTTTATTGGTCACAACAATACCTGTACAAGAATCTTATTCTGGAGTTACTGACTTCATTGTATTGTAAATATAACAGATTACAATGAGTATTTACAGCTAGAGTTGTAAAGAAGATTTCTTACCTTTTCTAATTGGCATTTTATGTAGAATCATTGTAAATTACTTACGAATATTTCCAATAGATTACTCTTTATTCTAGTGTTGAAAATTATGCTCATATTAAAATCCAATCCGATGAATAAAACTCCTGCAACCTTCCTGTAACGACCAATGCTTTAGTATTTGGTTTGAACCCGGTGCTAACTAACCAGAGTTTATTTGATTATCCTGTCGTGAATTAATAACAGCGAAGAAGGGACAGTCCAGATGAATATTTACATTTGCTGGCGATTTTGTGGTGTAAAAATAATACTGAAATCGTGCCAGAGAAAATGGGCGAAAGGTATAGAGCAGCAAAAGCAAGATGACAACCGCGCAGAAAAAAATTCGGTACAAAAGTACGAATAAACAAAATGTTCGGTAAAACCTACACTGGTACAATTGATTATAATAAAGAATTTTTTTGTTTAATCAATCGTGTTTTCGTCGTAAAAGCGAATTCACTACAGATTAATGACCATATTCATGATATACATGTACCTACTACAATCACGGACGATAACACCCTTCATTTATTGCCAGATACAGCGTTATATAGTTATTTTCCCAAATATACTACTTAGAAATGGCCAACAAATAAAGAATTAGCTCATCATCAATATTTCCATAAGTGAGAAGAGAATTTATTTTTCAGGGAAAAGTCTCTAACAAAAGTTTCCTAAAGAAAGTCTCAGTGATGATAATTAAATATAATTTGATTAAATTATAGGTTACCTCACTATTAAATTGTATAGATTTAGTAAATGTGCCATATTAAATAATGAGAACACAATGAAGTGGAAAAAAACAATAACAGTGAAAATAGGTCATGTGTTAAAATTCAATGTGAGAATCAATCACTATAATTCTTCCAAAACAGAAACTGTATGAAACTAGACAGTTTACATTATAATTAGTAGAATATTATTTTTAACAAACTCAAGTCTTTCATAAAGAAAACTTATTTGTTTATTCTTATAGTGTGGTTGTGCTTCTGCCTTACTTAACATGATTGAAAGTGTGCAAAAAAATTGTTTCTGTTGACTAATATATATATATATATATATATATATATATATATATATATATTAGTTCTTTGATTCAGCTAACTAAAGAGAAACCGATGAATTACAATGGATTAATCGCAATCTCAAAATATAGTTGTTCGTGCTTTATTTGACCTCAGTGAAACCGAGTATTTGGAGTTTTATTCATCCAACTAGTCAGTAATGAGTAGGCGTTCGTCCTTTTACCCCTGACGGTGACGATATCTGTCGAAAAAAGTGAAAGAAAAGCCATCAAGTAATAATTCATTTGTACTAGTTGGTTGAATCTTCCCATTGGCAATTAAGACTGCAGATGAGTAATCTCTCTTGGCATCTATGTTTCTAGTGCGGTTTTCCTCGATACTGCGCTTGGGTTATCATCGTTATTAACAGAGATGGATGGTGGTTAACAGTGGAATCCAGGATGGGCATTTACTCATATTTTGGGGATTGTTATGTGGATGAACCTGTAGTGGTAATTCCCTCCAAATATTTTTGACTCCAATATATTGTTTCATCAGTGGTGTACTTTAGCAGGTTCATTCCTCTGGTATTACTATGAATTTACTCGAGAATTATTAGAAATCAGAACACTAGATATTAGGATTAGTGTGTTTTGTTAATGGAATCTACAATACAAGAGACTCAAGCATACCAGTGAGTGAGTAAGTTAATGAATAAGGAGTGAGGAGCATGTCCATGTATTTTGTGAGTGTCAACCAATATGTGGATAAATTTATTGACTGTTGATGTTTACAACCAATTAGATAACAGGTAAAGAACTGAGGTGCAGATATGCGCTCAATCATACTAGCACAAATGAATACATAATGGATCAAATGAAAACGTGACAGTTTTTATATGTAGTAAAAATGAAGTGGGAAGGCTTGGTATAAATCTGAATTACAGAGTTAGTGCTCACTCTGGGTCTCAAACCCAGCACAGTCAGGTTTGAACTCAATCAGGTTATCCACTTAACTACTGAGTTCAGATACCCACAGACTAACACGATGGGGTTAATCTTGACTCATGTGTACTGACTGGTTTGATCTTCCCAATAATTTTCAAGACTGCAATTGAAGGCATTAAGTAGTTTCGATTTTCATCTCTCTAAAGAGATTCTGTTTTACCATAGATTTTAATAAGTTTAGAATTGTTACCTCTCATTTGCATAACTTCAGAGCATTACGATTATAATAGCTAAGCGTTTTTCATATGACAAAAGATAATCATATAATCCAGGAAAAAAAGTTTGACATGAATTACATTTCCGATTCTCCCTCAAATTTAGTGATAGTAACCTTATAACTCCGTTTCTGTATGGACAAGAAAAACGAAAAATCCACAAAATCAACTTGTGTCTGAGAAGAATTAGTAATTTTAGGTCGTTATTTTGGTTAATAATGTAGTGAAGTCTAAAGTGCTGAGTGTTAGATTTACGTTCCCAAAGAGTAGTATTTTTGCCGTCAGACAATCCTACTTCCAGTCACAATGTCATAAATTTGAATCGTGCTCTATCATCTTAGGTTCAGATAATTAGTTAGTGTCACTAACCATCTTACGGATAGTGTTTCCTAAAGCTGGTATACTCAGTGTATTACTTTATCTAACTGCATTCTTAAGCCTTCTTCCTAATCATAATTCCCATTTGTCATGTTACTTATAGTTTTCTACTATATCCAACATTTTAATTCAGTCCGGAATAGCTCAAGTGAAATTCAACGTGTTTCAGTGTATCTTGTTAATCTATTCACAATTCAATAATCCAACCCACAATGATTATACTTATATATTTAATTTTATGAACATGTATAAAAGATAGTGTTTAATTATATGTTCTAACCTGACTAGCAGAAAAACATTTTCATTTATTTTCAATTTTGTTCGTCCCACGTGCCTAACTGCTGAAAAATTCATAATTAACTATCATTTTTATCAAGTGAGGGGAGAGATGACAGAAATATTTCATTTGGTAAATTAAAGGGGAACAAAATTTATGCTTTAATTATAATAATAAGAGAATAACGATCTAGTGGATATATTTCTATATCTCTACCTATCACAGTTTAAATTACAAACTGGACAGACTACATGTCCTCGCCTATTTATCTATCACTATTATTCGTAGTAAAAAAAATAAGGTAGAGAAATAATAACCAATAAGCTCACGATCCGTACTAATCTAATCTTTACATACTAATCTCAAACTATTGAGAATGTCTAGTTTTTCAATTCCCCCATTTTTGTTCATAACTTTAAGGAACTAAAATAGTTTAGCTCAAAACAATTATAATAATTTTGAACACTTACTAGCCACTTTCATAAAAAATTAAGATGTATACAAATGATGAATATTGGATGCGAACTTATGAAGATGCATCGGTTCACCTTCGTCCATCTCCTCCTCACTATGATCTTAATAATCTTTGGATTAGTGATTCAACTTTAAAACACTATTCACCTACACCATTTAATATTTCATCGGCTTATTCATCTAGTTCATCACCAGCAGCAGACCCTTCATTTCTTACTGACAGTATGACGACTACTCCGGCTATTTTAGATAATCAATATAATCCATATTTTAATAATACTGGAAATTTACTTGTACCATACAAGTATACATGGGATGATAAGGAAGATGATTATCACATGTATACATTGAAGTAAGTTTTATTTTTATTATTTTAAAAGATAATGGATTCATTTTTCTGTCAGTTATGAATAATTACATTTAATATTTTAAAAGAATAAGTATATATATTATTGATTAAACATGGATAAAGCTGGTTAAAGATAAGTGACTCTTGGCTTGAAAACTTGGAACACGATACTTAGATGCAGTGAGGATGATTCAAAACGATGCTTGTTTGTCAAATTAATTTTAATATTTCTAATAAACTAAGGTTTAATTTAAAAGAAAAGCTCTTCATACATGAATTATCTCCAATTCCGAAAATATATACAGCCAAATTCAGTGAAAATGTTTTCATTTTATTCTTAGAATTAAAAATGAGTTATCAGTTCAATTAAAACTATACACAAAACAAAAATCAACACGTTCTTGATAGATGTTAATAAGGCTGTGACACAATTAGTATCTTTCAAGTATTATAATACATAATTATTTGACTTAAGTAATAGATATAGGTATTGTCTATTGGAAATTGTAACTGAGTAATATGATTGAATTCCTAAAAATAAATGTGTTTACTATTGATAAGTTTGTGAGGAAACATGACTAGTGGAGTTCAAACTTCTAGGATGTATGCAGTAACTACCAAACGCAAATGGATAAGGTCGCGCGAAATCCCTAGATTGATCAGAGTTAGACACTAACACCGTTGGATGTCGGCCCAGTGGTCCAGAGGTTAGGCGTTCACGCGCAAGATCGGAGGTCCTGGGCTCGAATCCTTCGAGTCGTGGATGCATACTGCTGGTGGATTCCGTTCCAGGACGAAACGGCTGTCTAGAGCTTCCAGGTTTCTAGTAGTGGTCTAACAATGAATGATTGATGATTTCAACATGTATTTGAAAACCTATCATTTTCAAGATAATCTATGTATATATAAATCTTAATTTTAATCGTCTATAATCACTGAACTTTTTCAACATGGAACTTAGCTCAAATATTAAAGAAGAAACATTAATAGTGATTGTATTCAAATTGTACCATATTTAAATTACACCTTTTTTAAAGAGTAGAATAACTTGGTATATAACTAATTTATTTAAACAAAACAGGTTTCATTGTAATTACAATTTAAGTTTGTTTTGCTTTCAATAAATTAGTAATATGTCGTCCAAATATGAACAGTTTAATTTCATTTGCAATTAATACAAGCATTTTCTTAGTGTAGAAGTTATGGATACTAATATGGAGAAGTTGTTTGGAGAATAACCTTTAACACTACACACATCTAAATATGCTTCAAACAATTCTAGTGACTTTACACTACTTCAAGTTTCCATGCTTAAAATTCTGTAGACCTTACAAAGGTGACTGAAACATTAAATAGATTTAAATAGAGAGTTTACTGTTTTCGCACTTATTAGTGACTGTCAACTAAAGTGTAACATTTAAAGAATTCTAAAGTTTTCAGGCTGCTTTCTCTAGTCAGTTTACTTTTGTGTCAGTAACTATAATGAACTACTTGTATATGTGACTCAGTGAAATTCTTTTGGAGATTTTATAGGCAGAGTACTCAAATACTACTGAAAAATATTTTGTCTTTTTACTTAGGAATCTCCGACTAAACAACTGAATATATTTTATGTTAATTTGAAACAAACGTGATATTATCTTACAAATATTTGTTAACTTTCATATGATTATGTCTAATTGACTTAAAATTGCATTTTTATCTTGAAGAAAGTAAGTGACACTGCATATTTAGCACAGTAATGTTCTGAGCCAGGCATTTACTGCATCGAAAAATCTGTATGACGCAATAAAGTTTAGGATAGGATTATGGAGATTTTTGAGCTCCATTAAAATCATAAACCGACCAATGTTAGACGCACACTGAAAACCTGAAAGCACTGGATGGTTATTTCGCCTCAGTATGGGACTCATCAGTAGTGCCCACTCAAGATCTTCGATCTCGAGAGCGAATGCTTAACTTTCTGACTACTGAGCCGATGTCCGATGGTGTTCATATCAAATATCAGTTAGTCTACGATGTTGTACAACCATCATTAACGGTGGTCGAATATTGATTGGTTTATGAATTTAATAAAACAATAAAGCTCAGAGTATAATTTTTATGACTTTCCAAGTTCTACAGGTAGCCTTTTTAACCCTTTCATATTCCAAGAATTATGTAAAAATGAAACGATAAAACCTGATGGGAACTTGTAAAGAATACTCTTCGTCTATCAGGTATCTGCATTTTGATGGGAAAATTTCAACAGTGTGATATCTTCAATTACTTTATAATTAAATCTATTCTACAGGAAGCTCGAAATCCATTTGTTATGTTGAGGTTAGATAAGAAGCGGTCGAACTCATATCATTCAGCGTAAGAGATAAAAACTTATCACTTAGCTATTCATATAATGAAACGTGTGTTGCTGTTGTCAAATAAATTAATATATCAGTTAACATTCAATGATCAGGGATACTATCCTAACTCAGGTCTCATGTGGTCGAAAAATGAAAGTTTCTCTATTGCAAAAAGATCATTACTCGACACGAGAGAAAAGTTAATAAATGTTAGAGCCCATTTGTATCAAGCTAGGATACATCTATTGCTATCCTATGCCATATGATGTATATACCATAAGCTATATTGTTGTGTAGAGCTGAAGGTTTCCTATGGGACTAGAGGTTCGTTGTGAATATTTCGGACGGGTCGGCATTACTTTGGCAAGTATTGCTAATAGTCCATATAAAAATTTGGTTAACAGGGTGATCGATTTCACTGATACTAGTTGTTGCCTTGCAGCATTTCCGAAGGCAATTGTCTTTGCGGTGTTGTATTGCATATCACCATTGCTCATAATAGTGAGTTTGACAGTCATGTAAGCGAGGTGGGTAAAACAGGCCTGTTAATGCTGTGCATATTGATTGACGCGATCATAGATCGGAAATAATCACTATATATGTTCTAGTGTATTTAAGTGGTGAGAATTGTCCACCAGCGTATCAGGTACCTGTGTGATTGCTCCATGAGATTGTAGTGTTGTAGTGTCAACACGTGGACAGTCACCTTGGTACTCCTGAAAACCAATGTGAAATTACCGTTTGCCAATCGAGGGTGAATTTGTATAATTGTGACATTCACTGATCATCGTGTATGTAAGTGAATATAAAAAAATTTACAAACGTAAATAATTATTGATCAAATTAAATTATAGTGACATGTTGTCTTTAAGGCATAATAATCCATTTCTAGAAAATTATGATAATAGTGAGTTAAACATTTTAGTATTTGCCAGAATGTGAACAATTATATATTCAACTAGTCATCATTTTTCATCCTATTATCCAAGTTATCTTTGTCCTTTCATTTTTTTGTTTTCATTGCAAAAAAAAATTCCAATTCATTTCAAAAATCTTGTACAAATAATTATAAGTTATACATCAAACTCTTGGGAAATAATAATGATTATGACGAATAGAAGTGTTATCATTGTTTTGGTCATATAGTAAATAATTCATGCACAAACACTCTGTTGTCCAAATGATTGTTTTATTTTTGTATATTGTTACACGTATCACTAGTGAGAAAGAGAAAAATAACAATCTGGAGAAAAGATCATATAAATATATATATTAAGAAATATTCAGACTTGTTTACATGGATAGCAAAAGATGGTAAAAATATGTACGTAAATGAGTAAACTTAAACACATTCGTAAAGCCTAAATGATCAGAGGAGATGAGAATTTTTTTTTAAAGTAACTAAGTAAGCTCCAAAAAAAAAGATAAACTGATGCATTTCATTAGCTATAATTAAATTATATATATATATATATATATATATATATATATATATATATATATATATATATATATATATATATATATATATATATATATATATGTATATATATATATCGAGTCACGAAATGACTATCGAGTATTTATTGACTTACTACTGAAAACATTGGTATCTCAATCTATCGATAAATATTGTGAAGTAAGAGAGGATTTACATCAACTACTTTTCTTAATAGTTAGTTGTTAATGATGAACAAAAATTCTGACAAGATTGAAATAGTTTAAATCACGAAAATTTCAGCAAAAGAAGCTGACCAATATTCAATTAAATTATATATTGAAGTTACCAGAATCTAAACAACACATAATGATGAGAATTGTGTTACAAACTTTTGATACAAAAGAGATCAATAAAATAATAATGGAACTTAGAGTCAATATGAACCTGAGTTTTTGAAGAAAAGGAACTTTATCTGTGATTAGTACCTATGTTGATCAGCTCCATTATCACGGTTGCTTTGACCGTGACTTGAGAATTTAAATTCTTAATTCAAAAGTCAATAAGGCAGACTACATCATGTTATGCAATTTTACGACCACACTGTATACTCTTTGCAAATAAATTTCAGATAACTAAAAGAGATACATAATATTATAAGTTATTAACAACATACTTAATTTATGAAGAAAATTTAATAGCAAACTAATCGAATTTGTACCTTTTAACTTTAAAGTCACCACTTGGAATATAGATTTGTGAAATAAGATATTAACTCAGAAAATTCTTAAATAGAGGAATATTGGTTTAACACAAATCATCTTTCTTCTTGAATTAATAATTATTATCCCTGATATTATGAGAAAACTAACGAAAACAAATGAGCATCGAATTTTCACGCTCTGGTTTCTAACTCTCTAGTTCTTCCAACGAGCAAAACATATTCAAACGACTAAGTAAGGAACATATGCTCTCGATTTTTAATTTCATCCTATCATAACTTCATATTAAAATATTGGGATGCCCTTCAGAAAGTTATCTACTGGCTACTATAACGGAGAAAAGTTGTATAGTTGGGTAGATCAGTGATTGATCATCTGACAGAAAGTAAATATTGCGACGGAATGACGATTATTTACTAAAACCAAATTGCTAATTCAAAGTACCCATTGATGCAAAACTAAAGGATAACACGATCGAAAAACAAAAAGGTAGCAATTTATTTCCATGCAAAAAGATACATATGAATAGACATCAGTTTGAAAGTTCTGTACCATAATGGTTACGTAACGCATTCACTAACCAATGAAATTAAAGTCAACACAATTCGATTTCATTCTTTCTCTGCATTTCTAGATGGCCTTTTTTTGAGAACTTTGAATTAATTGATTCTGCTTTTCGCTACAAACAGATATTATTCCTTGCTGAGAAATTTGATAATCTATGCATGGATGCAGTATGATGTTTTGGGTATGGACATAGTTTAAGTCACCTAGTTCTACTTGAAATGTATCCATACAAGTATTATTTGTGAATTAATAAATTATCCATTGACATTCTTATTCACTAGTCATTTGTTTGCAAAAGTTTACATCTAATCTGAGAATTCACTTGTATTCAGCAAATAAACTTTCAATATCACTTGGTTAATATTCTAAATAAATTTGTAGAAAATTTCGGTTAACATGATAAAATACACATTGAATCATTTGAGAAAAAGAATACATTTTTCATGATTAACCGAATTTTGAATAATACTACTATTTTAAATCGGAGGTTAAAATGTAAGTGAAAATTGAAGCAAAATTTACAAATAAATCACATATAAATAATATTTGTTTTGTCTTTTCTGTCTCGATGACTGATAGCTAATGGAATAAATACATTAGATTAATCTAATGTGCTTTTATTTAACAAACAATCATATTTTTCTACCTGAGAATGAATATATGTTTTCTATGTGTATGTTACTGAATATTATGTCATATAATGAATCATTTATTATGGGAGTCGAATTCCATGCTTTAACTATATACACGTATATATATTTGTTAACATTAACCATTCAGCAAAATTCATTAACTATGTTTGTTGCTTTTATGTTTTTAATAAGATAGGAAATAGGATGATCACTAATAGTCATGAGTCATGTAGAAAGGCACACTGAAGAGATCGATTACAAGGACAATTAGGCAACTTCACTTACTTTTCCTTATTTGTGTGTTATATGTTACATATACTCTGTCTCTCTCTCTCTCTCTCTTGTTAATATTATTAATATCTAAACTCGTTTAGATATTCTTCTTTATTACATGTATGTATATAGAATATCAACTTTATCATCATGTTACACATGCCAACTATGTGATTATTATACTGATAGTTAATTCATAATGATTTATTTTTCTTGTTAATTTTTATATTTTGAAAATAAATTCATGTTAAAAATAAAATTAGTGAATTTATAAAAGTAATATACATATGAAACAAGTATTATAAGATTTGTTATTTTCTGCGGAAAAAAATAATAACTTCAGTCATTCGATTATAAACGATTACATCATGAAGTTATTTATTCTTAAACATAATATTTACACAACTGAAATATCTTGATTGATACATTAATTATGATTATGATAGATTTGTTTAGATATCTAACCTTATCATTGTGAACATCTTATAAATACCAAAATGTTCACGTGTTACTTCATAGATCTCATACTAACCAACTTATCACTTTGAATAAATGATTTAAAAAAATGTATATATGCTTATATCAGTTAGATTTCATTTATCACAACTAACTAGTGGATTATTCATTTTAAAAAAATACTCCCTTGACTAATTAAACATGAAAATTGTGCTAAATATTTGGAAATATGGAGCATGGAAATAAGGACAGTCCAGTCAAGAAATTTACAAATTTTTCTCCATAAATAACATAATCAGATGAAATCTGATTGAATGGGTTGCTAGTGTTCGTCAAAGTAAGGTGTTTCATAAGAATGGAGATAACTGGTTGGACACCTCGAACCAAGGTTCTGTGCCAGTTGGCACCAGTCAATAGTGTGTATTTGCAATTTCATGAGAACTAGTATTCTCACAGTATTTTGGAATTGTATCGTACAATGGTTCAATTGACAAGATTCAATTAGGGAATGTGACTCTGTTTTAGGTTTTAATTAATTTAGGGGAACTGACCAGTGTATTTATTTAGTCTACTCAGTTAACATAGTATATATTATTCAGTACTGCTATTGTCTAGTGATCGATTCTCGCATTATCTAAATGACTCAAATTGATAATTACATTTTGATCCGATTAACCGATTATTTTCTTTTATTTAGATACTTCAAACTGTCAATAATACCTTAAGAAATGAGCACTTTTCAAAACATTTTTATATTTGGAAATTAATTTTCTAAAGTAATCTAGATGGTATATTTGAATTCTAAGTGTCTACATTATGATCACTAATCATTTGGTTCTGAGTTTAGTGCTTGGAAAATTTTCAAACTACAGTTAGTCTGTGAATTAAATCGCCATTTGTTCATGATCGTTAGACGAGACTAAATTAAGAGAGACATGTTATTATTATATGACTTGTTAGGCGTTAAATGAATTATTTACATCGAATGTTTGTAAGCATGTCATATAAAACCATTTTGAAAATGAAGTATAAAATGAAGAATAGCGATATGGTGCAGTATTGAGGGAAAATATATAAAAATTAGTATCGTCTTAATTTCTTGTGATTACCGCTAGTATCACAAAACAGACTGGTCAATGTACTGAGTAAAGCTTTGCATAATTTGGGGTTGTTATGAATTTAATTTTGAGATTAAATCAAATTTTAAAAAAAATAGTATGAAAATGAAATATCCAACATCCTAAAGCTTATTGATAGCCTGATGATATAAAAATTGTAAGTAGTCAGCGTTTTGAAAAATACATTATCACTTGTCTTTTATTACAGTGAGTCACTCGAGATATAAGGCTATTTATTGTACACAGAGTTCTACGTAGTAGTAAAATTATATATACATATATATATCGTTTTCAAAACTCAACTTACTCAATATTTCATAATTTTAGGTCGTGTTATTGTGAATCACAACAAAATGATCAACTTTCAAATAATGAAACCGATTTTTCCAATCATTATCAAACAAGAGAAGTTAATGGACTTCAGTTTCATAAAATATGTAGTTGTACAGCAAATTATCCGTCAATTTGTGAAATACATTCTTTAGATATCAATGGAGACAAATCAAGAAAGATTACAACAGATTATTCAATTCAGTCAACAAAAATTTGTGATTATCCAGAATCTGTGGTAACGGAAAGAAGTTACCAAAACTCGAATGGATTAACTGAAGGTAAATTAGTTGGATTTTAGTTATTTAGATTTGATTGAAGAAAACTGAAATTATCTACAGGGAATAAAGTTAAAAGCCGAGAAATATTATAACCTTAAATTATGTAAGAATATTTTTCAATAAAAGCAGTGAATGAATTACTTATTCAATGGACCTTTTCATAATCAAGTATTAATTTGAATACACGAAATTAATATCTGTAATTTTTCAGTACAAATCTCATTTTAATTAGATAATTTCTTTGTTGTGTTAAGTTAAATCACAAGTGATCAGTTTGTTCAACAGATCCGAGTGAATTCTAATTGTATTTCACTGATATGACAACATTTTTTTCTGACTGAATCCGACAAAGTTGATCAAATGGACGATAATGAACTTTTTTTTGAAGCAGAACCAATTAAAATGAATTGAATTAATAATATTACTTTGAATGTGTTATTCATGTTTTCGTTTGTTTATTGTCTGAGAAGTGCAAACATTACACTCATTACATAATAATGATGTAGATTGATAAATGAAGCAATGATCATTATCTGAAAGATTAATGTAATAAAATCGATAGCTACATCTCATTTTTGGTAAACAAAAATAAATGATATGAAATATTTGACATAACGTTTCATGTTTTATGTTACTGAACTGAAAGAAAGTAGTACTAACACTAGTAATGTCTCTAGAAATTTTCCGGATTACTGACTTATAACTCATTGAAGAGTTCGACTGCGATATCACAAGTTACAAATAGACTAAATTAACAATAAGTTATATTTAACCATTTAAAAACCGGTTTTCAACAAGTATTAATGATTAATTTGATCACGGTTTCACTTTTTACTTTAATTAAAAACTATGGCTTCGAATACTGACAAAGTACTTCATAGTCTCAGACAGAGATTCTCATTACACTTTAAGTTATACAAATTTTCCGAAATTGTGCTTATGAGGATTGAAAATTCTGACATTAATCTGAGATTCTGATTTTTGATGAAGAAAAAACATTTTTTCTAGAAGAGAAAAAATTAATTTCTCTGCCCTTAAAGTAAACTTTTATTTATTTTCTTTTTAAATTCTAGGTGCAACGAATTCAAGTTGGTTTGATTTACCTTCATTTCTTTCATTCAATTCTAAATCAAGTAACATATATCATGAATCATTTTCTAAATGGTCATCAGATAATTTCACAACAACAGACAGTGAAATATTTTCAAAAGCTTGTACAGAAAATTATACAACTGATTCTGAAATTCAAACATTTTCAAATTCATTTGAACCATTATCATCAGTAAATGGTCATAGTGAAGTTAAAATCTATGGGAAAAAGTTGTCGAAACCCTATCCGACAGATTTTTCTAATGGTAACTTAGTAGATAAATCATGGACTGAAAAGTCATCAATACCATTCACGAATATTAATAATAATGAAAATAGCAGTAGTGGAGCATTAATGGCAGCTGCTTCAGCAGCTTTAGCTAATCTTCATCGACGAGGTTCTTTACAACTGTGGCAATTTTTAATTGCTTTGTTAGATGATAAAGACAGTCAACATTTAATATGTTGGACAGGACGGACACTAGAATTTAAACTGAATGATCCAGAAGAGGTAAGATTATGATAATATTAAGTTTTGTTTGAATTTGTTTGTAATACACTTTCACAGTTTAATATTGAATAAAGTATGTGAATTTTCATGTTCCAAAGAAAAATATTTAGATGTAAATGATCTGTTTGAAACAATGCTTTCAATTCGGTGCCAGAAGTTATTTTCAATAAGAAATTGAATTATAAGTTGATAAATATGAGTTCATGTACTGTATTGATCTCTGATTAACCAGTTCATTACTTTACCACATAAACCTAAAGATATGAATATTGTTCAGAATATAATTTTACTCTTAAAAATAATCATCTTTTATTCCAAAATGATAAATTTAATTCCATTCATTACTAAACAGTTTAATAGTTCAAATGGAATTTAGTATGTACACTTTACATTGTTCCACTAGCTCTAACTTTTAAGATAAAACTGAAAAAAAACAACAAAATACACGATTTTAAATCAACTACATTAAACACTGATCTAAAGTACGTGCTATCAAAGTGATAGAATGTACACCGAGACAATTTGCTATCACTGTTAGTTCACGTGTACAAACAATGAATCATCAATTTGATAAGAATATTTTAAGAGTATACACAAGAAGAACTTTCACTTTTGGTAGAAAAAAAAACGAAATAAAATACTTTTACAATGCATTTTATAATTGGATTTCATGCTTAAACATGTTCAGAAGGAAAATACTAACATTAAGTTTCTTTCTATTTATCAAAACATTTCCTCATTTTTGAAATAAAAATCTTATTTCTATACCCTGGATAATAGTGAGAGAATAACAAATCTTTTCCATATGTATGTGTTGCTGTTAAATTACATGTGACCTACAGTAGTTTTAATTGTTTTATTACATTCTAGTGTGAAAATTCACCGTTAGAATGATCAATAACATTAGGGTTATTTTCTATAGTTAGTCGTATGATGACTGACTGTATGTTTACGGTCAACATAATCCCATTACACACATTGAATAACTGGTAATCCAATACTTACGTTCTCAAATTGAATAACGAAATGAGTTTTCTTTTAAATTATAGTTTCTAGTCAGAAAGTCCGGAAGGGATAGTTGTAGAAAATCATAACATAGTAATTAATTGGAGTATGCTTATATTTGTTGTTGACGTGTCACAGAAAAAGGAATCTGAAATTTCGCGGAATCTTATAATCTGTTTGAAATATGAACTTTGTTAACTCTGCTTCACTGAGAGACCAAAAAATCTAAATGTCTGAGAACACCAATAGAATTCTTATTATCAGGACTTTTTGCAGAAGCTGTGGTGCAGAGACTAGAAGCCCCTATTCTGTCAGTGATCAAGCTAAAAATGTGAGTTCGTTATGTGGACTGCACATTCGTCACCATTAAAAAAAACATGCTGGAAAACACTGACGATCTTATGAACAACACCTTCAGTGACATGAAATTCGCAACTAATAAGAAGTGAAAGTACAGACTATCATTTTTGGATGGATAGATCACCAGAGCCAATGTAGGAAAACTAGAAACCGAAGTATCTCGGAAACCAACCCACATGGAAAAAATTATCATCCTTATTAGCAACAACCCGAGAACTCACAAAATCATATATGTGCAAACTTTATTCAAGAGGATGAGAAAACACTGCAGCCCACATACGGCTTGAGTGAATTGAAAAAAAAAATCTGACCACTATTCTCCAAAAGAACAGCTACCCATACAACTTTATCAAAAATTACAATCCAACTCATCGGCAGAAAAGAAATCTAGTAAATAAACGAACTAACAAATCATTCTCCCATCTATGAAAGACAGATCAGATATCGTAGCGAGGTTAATGAAGCTGTTTGGAATAGGTTTAGTGAACAATCTATTAAAATCACTTCAATCGATCCTATATAAATCAAAGGACAAAACGATACAAAAACCGAACATCATCTACAAAATAAACTGTTTAAGATGCAAAAGTTGCTACATCGGAAAGAGTGGATGCCCCCTAATCTTTGCCTATGCGAAATCGATTGGCAGTCAAACGGCATGAAATATCTTCCCTCACATAGAAACATGTAGACAACTATCTACATACGTTACACTGGAAAAATGTTGAAATCTTGAATAGAGGGAATACTAAGAACATTAGAGAATTTTTATAAGCTTGGCACTAATGTCAATCAACAATCAATGAACACATTAAAATCGACCGAATTTATCAACTAGTCAGGGAAATCACAAACCACTATAGGATTTAGAATCAAATCATGTCGGCAGATAACGGCGGGTTAATGGTCTATAAAAACTAACTAAGATCGAAGTCGACAGAACATGCTACGAGTCATATGTGATGCAATTCGAATACATCACTTCTACTTGAAGCTTTTGCTGATGATATTGTACAGAAGAATAGTGAAAGTTCCACGACCAAACCATCCAGCTCAGAGAAGGAAACTTCAAGATAACGATTATACTTACTTACTTTCGCCTGTTACCCCAAATGGAGCATAGGCCGCCCACCAGTTTTCTCCAACCAACTCTGTCCTGGGCTTCCCTCTCCAGTTCTGTCCAATGTTTGTTCATTCCTCTCATATCTTTCTCTATTTCACGGCGTAATGTATTCTTTGGCCTTCCTCTTTTCCTTTTGCCTTGAGGGTTCCATGTGAGGGCTTGTCTCGTGACGCAGTTAGGTGCTTTTCGTAGAGTGTGTCCTATCCACTTCCAACGCTTCTTCCTGATTTCCTCCTCCACTGGAATCTGACTTGTTCTCTCCCACAGTTCGTTGTTGCTGATGGTGTCTGGCCAACGAATACGAAGTATTTTACGTAGACAGCTGTTAATAAACACTTGTATCCTCTGGATGATGGCTTTGGTAGTTCTCCATGTTTCCGCTCCATACATTAGAACTGTCTTGACATTNT